CGCCTACTAGATAGTAAAATATAATGGCCCGTTACAAAGCTTTTCGTATTCTTCAAATATATTATACCGTTTAGCTCTAACAATAAGAAGTCTTGATGTTGGCCAAAAAATTGTCAAAAATTATTAAAATTATACCTGCTTTTTGTCATGTGTTTAACCTAAAAATATATATTTTGTCTGTAGAAATTAAATACGTAAGTTATAACCTTTAAACGAACTTTTTGCAAGCACGTTATTCTAGCCAATATAATGTGATGTTGAGAAAGAACGTTAGTTTCCCTGCATGCAAACAAGTTTAACTCTTTCTGAAATTCAATATTAATTTCATAGGCAAACTTCCATGGTTTCCGGCTATTACACCAGTTATCTAAATTATGCATTATATTTGGGGTGAATGTAAGATTGACTAATTTCCGCATTCAGAATTACCACTCGTATCAAAATATAGATTTTCGTTGCACGTAAAATCTCCTCATAGCCTAATTTCACCGCTATATTCCGGAAGCTTGAAAACTGCTTCGCCAACATTCAGATATGCAAAGAATGAAACGCATTTTTTAATTATGAATTTTTTGCATTCTGTAAGAAATTACATCTGACGTGATTTTTATAAAAGAAATTCCTACGTTGCTAACTACTGTTAACCAGGTATCACATTTTGTTTAATTTATTTTTAACATTTAGTAGTTACAATAAACCAGTACAAAGGAGACACCTTTTTTGTAAGATAAGTTAAAAATAAAACCTTGATCTTTGGAGAGTTGTTTTTTAATATTTTTTCAATCATTTTTATCCTTTTCCTATCTACAGTATTTTGTAGATTATTTGGAAAACTGAATTTCATGTTACATGTAAGTAGTGTTCTGAATAGGAGTAACGTGTGGTTGATGTAATAGGACAAAAAATCTACACTATGGTAATGCATCGACTAAAAAGGACCAAATACTGTGCATAACAGGATTTTGTTTTTGTGTCATGTTATGAAATTTAATTTGTTTTTACGAAGGAAACATGGAATAAACTCTTTATTTTGATAAAAAATAAATCATAATCATAAGGCAAAAATTACCCAATGTCGTTTTATCGAGGTATACTCATGAATCACAATTTCTTCTGGAATAAACTGGGCTCAGAATGCCACTTGAACTTTTCATTAATGTTTTATAAAATGTACATGCTTCAGGCGATAGTACTTTGTGCATTTTCTACGCTACGTATTTTATGCTCGCAGGAAATTTCGTCTCAGTCGTTTCACAAAAAGTTATGAATATCTAGCATTACTAACATTTTATAACAGAAATAGTCACAATTTTTGAATACTTACTTTTTCAGTCACTATACCGGCTGTCCCAATAATACCAGTAATACCTCAGTTATCTGAATAGATGGAACTCTGAAACTTAGAATGGTTAATTATCAGAAATAATTCTATAAAGTGAATATACGAGTAGCATTATGTGGTCTTTAGACGTAAATAAGTTATTAGAAATATTGTGTATATGGTAAAACGCTAACCAAAATTTGTCTGATTATCGTCACAGATTCAGATTTCTGGAAAGAAAAAATCAAAATTGAGTAACAACATTTTACAATTAATTTAACTTTGAAACTGTTAAACTGAATGCCCTGAAATGTTGCAAACGTTGTAAGGTCATCGTAAACATTATAAATAGTTAAACATTAAAAGTGAATCCGTTTATATCGCCCATAAAATTGAAGACGTCGCGTCGTCGCAAAATTTTAGCGAATTAATTCTATCTAAAATATGCAAATAGGCATTTTGTTTCCATCTTGTGGTTTATAAATACATTTATAGTTTTTGTAATTATTTATACCGGGTGTCTTAAAAAAATTAATGAATAAGCCAGTTTATTTTAGTGACCAAAATAAATCGACTCACCCCATTTTCCTAAAAATTGTATAACTTTACATAGATCAATTTTTTTTAATAGAACCTAAACCTGCTCGCTACGCTCGCACTCTAGACGTTCTTTTTTTTTTACGTTTAGTCGCAAAAGTATGCAAAAAACACACCCAACGAGCACTTTCGGGTTTCCAGCATCTCCCCAACAATTGTTTTAAAGATTTTCTAAAAAATAAATACATTTTTTTTTAATAATTTAGTTTCACAGGGACAGCAGTGAATTATTTTTAATAACATCTGCACATGCTCGCTGCTCTCACATTCTAAGTGTTCTTTTCGCAGTTTAGTCTTATAGGGTGATTAAGAAAGAATCTGGGTGAAGCTGTTTAGTTTGTTAATAATAATAATTAATAAACCTCTAGACTTATTACCTTAAAAAAAGAAACCTTTAAAATACGAGCGCAGCGAGTACGTTCAGTTTGCTGGGGTTTTTTCAACTTTAGTATTCATACAAACATTTTCAAGATTCCCTTTTTTTAGACACTAATAAATTCTCTCATTAATAATAATAATTTGGCTTCCCAGGGACACCGACGAATAATTTTAAATAACGAAAATATGCTCGCTGCACGCGTTTTCCGAATGGTCTTTTTAAATTAATTTAGTGTCCTAAAAAGACTTACGAATGGACGATCATCAGGGCTAGTTAGTTTTTATTACAATATTCCTAGAAATGTTTCTGTGAAGTTAAATTACTTTGAAAAAAATTGTATCCAAAATGCGAGCATAGCGAACACGTTTGGGATTTTTCAGTACCAGAGACACAGTGATCACGATCATTACACTCACATTTTTAAATAACAACAATTTTTTTCTTAAAAATTTAGTTTCTCAGGGACACCAACAAATAATTTTTTAAATTACACCTGAACATGCTCGCTGCGCTCGCATTTTAAAACTCTTTGTTTTCAGCTTTATTCTCAGAGAAGTGTGCAGGAAAGAATCTCAACGAAATTGTTTCGGTTATATCGCAAAAATAAATCTCTAGATTAAAAAAAAAACATATCTCCCAACATTTTTAGGATTCACCTTTTTTAGACAATAAAAAATTTTCTTATTAATAATTTAGCTTCTAAGGACACTGATGAGTGATTTTTGATAACACCTAAACGTGTTATATACATATATAAATTGTTTAAAAAAAATTAATGAATCAGTTAACTGGACTGATAAATTTATGAGAAAAACTATCACCAAAGAAATCTGACTTGACCGAATCTGACCTAATCCGCCATGACATGACAAGCCTCAGATCGCCGCTCAGAGTGTGAGGGAAGTAGTAAATAGAATGAGGTATGATTTTTATGTGGGTAAAAGAAAATGCTTTATATTTTTTCAGTAGCAGAAAAATACTTGATATACCAGTTTGTTTTATTGCCTGAGTTAAAAATCCGTGACCTTGCAAACGCTATTGTTTTTAGCTAGGGTAAAGCTAGCACACTGCAAATATGACCTATATTTTTTTAAATTTTGATTTGATTTTGATAGATATTTTAGTAGTCCTTTATTTTACTCAACTTAAGGCCACAAAGTTTTAACTGGGACACTTGTATATTTTTAAATGACGGCATTAGGGTTACTTGTTGCATTGTTATTTTATTTATTTTTTTTAATTTTGATAATACCCTAACATTAGTTTAAATAAAAATAAAACAAAATAAATACTATAATATCAAAGTGGTTACAATTTCCAGAGTTTACGTCAATGGTGGACCGTCTTTTTGCATATATGAAGGACCTCAACACAAATTTTTCTATTATTTTCGAAAAAGTCTGTTCAATTTCTGAGAAATTGTGAGTATAGAATAATAAGCAACATTATTCACATAAAAATTAATAATTTTCCTTTCCGAAATTAAAAAAAAATCTTTAGTAAAAATATACCCTACTTGTTGTAATTTAAGCTAATTTTAAACCAAAATTTAGAACGGTTTCAGATAATGTATTTTAAGGTTACTGGTAAATGGTGAAACGTTATACAGAATTTATCTTCTCATCCCTTTTAAAAAATTGATTACACCATCTTAAAATTTTGTACGGTAAAATTCGTTTAAAATGAGCAGAATCTCTTACCTCGGGTTTGGTAATCGAAAGTGGCCATTTAATTTTCATGTGCTTGGGGCGCGTCAAAGATGAGGGACGTTCTATTTGAAAATTTTAAATCATTATCGGTTAATCACAGAAAAGCAAGAAACACAATTAGCGTATTTTATTTGTTGCAAGACTAAAGATTAAATTTACTAGCACCAGATCTACCTAAAATTTATTAGTTGGTAGTGCTACATTTATACTCCGCAGCTCACACAACGAATGCTTTTTTTTGTTTAGCTGATATATAGCAGTTCATGCTAGTCTCCCTGTTATAAAAAATTCATGTTTTATTAGGCTGGGACAATTACCTGTTTTTGTTAAAAAGTCATGTTACTAATGTGCCACCAAATTACTAACATAGACCACGGAAATGTGGTGAAAATCATTATTATTTTACAGTTGACCTGATTCACAAATAGCATTCCAGGGATTCAATTATTTAAGGGTATATTCAATTCAAGCCATTAATTTCAATAAATATTTCACATTTCCTCATCGGGCATATAATTTCTAATTCCATCATTCCGAGATTAACACGCAAATATTTGTGGACGTCTTTCAGGTGGAAATCTTGATTTAGGGATATTAGTATGCACGATGCAGATAAATTTTAGATTACACTCGAACGTAAAGACAACACGCGATTTCAGTGATTGCGCGTTATTATTCAAGCTCTATGCGCATAGTTTTCCTGATTACGAATTTACTTATTAATGTTGTATTCTTATTTTTCATAACGCTGTAGTCTGCTGCGCTAATTAACTTCCTGAAATGATGCACGGGCATTCGTAAGTCAGGGCTGTTGCCTGTCGTAAATTAAATATGTGTTAATAAGGGTGGAACCGGGGCTCAAATGTGGCGTCAGCTAAATCTCCTGTCATTTGTATGCAGAAGCCTTCTGCAGCAGCATAGTGAGAGTGTAGTTGTTGTATGTTACTCCATTGTTGTTGTTTCGCATATTTTAACCGTCTTGGGTTTATTGCAGGAGCGGGTGGCGTACAAAGGTTCGAGCAACAACCCTCATACACCGAAGTCAATCCTGGTCAGGACGCTCTTCTTGTATGCAAAGTGTTCAACAAACGCGGATCGTGTTCCTGGCAGAAAGATAACAAGGTAAACAATTTCGATTTTAAATTAAACTTAATTAGAATCGACCAGCATGGAAGTTTGGACGAGTTTTTCTGCTAACGCGAACACCTCATCTTTTTGATTAAAAAAACTGATTAGAAGGAAAGCCGTCTTCACATTTTCATTAAAACTAAAATCTCTGTACTCGCTGCCACTTCAGTGCCTGAGATTAATTACGTAATTGCTCCGTAAAACTGTGTGTTTTTATTACAGAGTTAAATATCTTTGCTGAACTTAAATATGACTATTTTTAATTTAAAAATTAATCCACCGCGAACGCTGAGTTGATTCAGTGCGAATCAATATTTGAAGCTTTCATTTAATAAAAATAAAACCAATGTAACCAAAGTTGAAGATTAAGAAGGAAAGGGTAGAATTTTTATTTCAGTTTGTAAATAAAACGATAAAAGTTTCAGTAATGAAGAAGAGAAAGAAAATATTTTGTTGACATTGTCAAAATCAGTGGTGGTTCGTGAGTGCACTACATAGTCAAGTGAAAATTCTAAGCGTATCTGTATGTCAAATCACTTCCTCAATTAATCAAAAGCTTACTTAAACACCTAAAGTGGATATGTACATTTTATGTGCCATACGATCGAGGAAAAAGTTGTCTAGCAACCTTTGAAATTGAATGTGTGAATCAGTTTAACATTAACGGTCAAATAATAGCAAATAAAGTTTCAAATAATTGCTGAACCAACATCATTATTTTAAAAATAAATTTCAGGGCTTACTAGACGATTTTTTTGCGATAGTACAACAATATATGTAAAACCATAGTTGGTAATCAATATTATTAATCTAAAGTTTCTTGACAAAGACTAACGTTCTTTATTTCGAATTGGGTTGTCATTTATTTAACTAACCATTGTTATCAGCTTAACAATCATCAAGAAACATTATTATTACATTAATTAATTAAACATTCAGAACTTTATTGAACATGTGTATAATATATAACACTTAGAAATTAAGACACAAACGGAAACGCGAGACCTACGTTTTCATACTTTAGGGTCATGAAAAGTCATGAAAGTAACCATTCGTCGGATAGAGGGTAACCTTCAAATCGTTTCTAAATTTCTTTGATTTTTCAGGAAATTAATTAATTTTAATATTAAAAAAAATATGTTTTTAATTATTTAATTAGCAATCGTTATTTTATTAAAGAACCATTCACTATTGACACACATGTTGTACAAATGACCAAAAAGAGGAAGACATATAAACCCAAAATTAAATTTAATTTAACAAAATAACAGAAACAGACCAAGCATGATATTTTCTTAATTAAAACAATAAAGGAGGGCGTTGTTGTAAACAGCGTTTTCCATCATTTGATTAAAAGTTTTCACGCGAAAATAATGCCGTTAACTCTTACAGACGTCTCACAAATTGTCGCTCTATTTCTGTTATTTTGTTAAATTAAATTTAATTCTGCGTTTATATGTCTTCTTTTTTGCTAATTTATACATCATGTGTCAACAGTGAATAGTTCTTTAATAAAATAACGATCACAAGTTTGGTTTGGGAAATTTTTCAGGGTCGCCGATTTTTTTTGCCGGTCAGTGTATAATCTTTACATCTAATGTGTGTAGAATGAACGCCGCTGTATATATGTGAATTTAAAGGAAAAACGAGTCCCTTTTTATACCGTACAGTTAGCCACTTGAAAGTTAATCGCACCGACGCGAGGGTCATATGCATCACTGGCGGTTTGCCGCCTTACTCACAAGAGTCGGTTTTCTGATCGACACCATTGTTGCAATGGATATGAACAATGCAAAAAAATAAAACAAATCCAGATTTTTCGAAAAATTACAACTTTTGAAGTAAATATAATATCTCAACAAAATTTTGTGACGACATCATTAATATTTTGCAAGGACACGTACATCTATCAATTTGGATAGGTGGAGTGTAATACTAATGACATTGTATTCCCAAATTTTTAGAAAAATGGGATGAAATAATCTTACAATAATTTGACTCATTAATTAATTTTTGAGTTACCCTGTATACGTGATTCTAAAATTATGAGTGCGTTGATAAACCGCAAGTATAGAATCATCAAAATATTTTGCATATTTCAAAAAAATTTATTCCGCAAAATTTTGAAATGACGTCATCAATTTTTTCGGAGGAGATAAACTAATATATTTTGATTAACAATAATTTACCATGATGAATATAACCTTAAAACGTTTACAGTTTTCAGAGTATTCCGTTTTACAGTTTCAAAGTTAAATTGCAAAATATTGCTATACAGTTTTGAAATTTTTCCACAAATCTGGACGTCTAGCGTGCAAACGCTATACATAAAAAAAGATTGTAAATCATCCCATTGTGGTTGGGGATAATTAGTCAAATTTTAGTTAGCGTTTTACGATCTACATGATATTCGTAATATACTTACATACAAAATTTGACAACAATCAGTCCAGTAGTTTCGGAGATTATCGGTCTAATAAAAATCTGGACAGACGACAGACAGACAGACAAACAAACGGAAACAAGAGACCGATATCTTCGTATTCTAGGGTTCGCGATATGTCGAGAAAACATAAAAGTAAGGAGTCGACCGATCAACTCGATTACAATACTTCATTAGCTTACACTAGGGAAGTGAAAAATATAAACTGGTTAGATTGTCTTTAACGACAAACAAAAATCATCAAATCAATGGACAACAGTGCTGTTCATATATCTTATTAAAAGCTTCATTTTCCACTGATTAGACGCTAATATTGTTAATTATGACAAATATACATAATGTGAAATTACTTAGTAAGCGCTTATGTAATAGGTGGATCGAAATATTCTTAGCTAGTCTTCTAAATAAATTATATAGTGTGACACAAACATGTTTAAACAGCAGTACAAGCGTGGAGGCTTTTATTGAACTTAACAAACTGAGCATGATTTTAATAGGTCTTTGCAGCAGCTATCTGTAACACCTTACAAATGCTACCGCATTACGTGCCGTAAAAATTCAGAGCAAAGTGTTGTAAAGCTCTGCAATAGGGATTTTCAGAGCAGCTGCATTTGCAGAGTAATTAGTGTTATTACGTTTAGAAACAAAAGCGCAAAACATGCTAACAAATTTGAATAATTGAACGGTAAACTGTTTGAGATTCCAGTCACTATAGTTGTTGTTTAACATTTCTGTACGTCATAAAAACAGCATATTTTTCAAACCGGGAAGGGACGCAAGATACTTTTGACAAATACCCATTATTCTCTGGAGTCAGATTCTATTATTAATTAAGTGGTTATCACGTACTGGACTCGACTAAACTGCAACACAAAACAGTGGAAATAAAGAAGTTTTTATTTGCACTGTAACTATCGTGGTAATTACCACCTAGCGTTTCTACTAAACTTGTGTTCGCTCTAGCTTCTTTAATGTGCATCCTGAGAAATACAAATTTATATACACTTTACGAGATTTGTTACTAATGTAAAGTTAAAATAAAAATGCAGTGACTGGTATTTCTAAATTCAAATCAGTGATAAAATTAATTAATGAAAAAAACTTTAAATTATATCATTTTAGTTGCATCTTTTAAATATATTTAAAGCACTTAACTAACGGGATAAAATGTCCTTCAGCACTAGGTCATAGCGTAGCAATCTGAAGCTCAAGTGTTTATTTATGTTTATACATCGAAATAATGTCACGTAGAATTTAGTTTGATTTGGATGAGTTTGTCTTCTTAAAACAGAGAACTAAAATTATTAATTAAACCATAATCGAACAAAATGTTCTGAATATTATAATTTTTATTTTATCAGTATTATATAAAGACGTGCATATTCTCACATTTTCGAGACAATGGGGTGATTCGTTCTTAATTTGACCAATACAAAATTTGTTATCATGTCATAAACATAGATAATACACAATGCCAGAGAAAAAGAGAAAAAAAAAGGTTAAAAATGAAAGACTAAGCTTTCAATCGAACGCGCCGGTCCACATTCCTCAACCTTAACCACTAAACTACGACAGAGATGCCTTACGCTCATGGTAAACTACTATCATACCTTGCCTTATGTTTTTTAAAAAATTTTGGACGGTTAGGGACAAACTCAAAGCGGATTCGTACAACACACATATAGGAATATATTGTTCTATAACATTGAAATCAAATAAACCTACAATTCTTTGAAATGACATCATCAAATTGTTGGTGGAGATGATTAGCAAAATTTTGGTTAGCATTTAACCATCTGCATGATATTTCTAATATACATGCAAAATTTGATAACAATCGCTCCAGCAGTTTCGGAGGTTACGTGTCTAATACAAATGAAAACAGACACCAGACAGATAGACAGACGGAAACGGGGGACTACTCTTTTCGTTATAAAACGTCGAGAAAATATAAAAGTGGGCATTCGTCTAGATTACTATACTACCTTAGCTTACGCTCGGGAAGTAATAATTGCATTAAGTGGTTTGAAAATTTTATTGCTGATTTTCTACGAAGTTACACAATTATTATAACAATAAGTTGATAACATCTTAATTGTTTAGTTGAAACTGATATTTAATAAGTATTAAAATTTCCGTAATAGCTTGCAAAAATACAAAGGCCAGTCATGCACTTTTATTTTTCCAACAGCTTTGACGATCAATACCTGTAGTGCCACAAGAGAACTTAAATATTGTTTGGCTGTAAATAAATGGTTTGTTTAACGATGAAATGATGTTCTTAATTAGGTAAATATGTATTATACATTATTTAAAATAAATTAGAAAATTCCAAAATAATTAAATATATATAAAGTAACAAGTTCATAGTTCATCATCATTGTCGTCCCATTTTTCTTTCGGTTGTAGTATCGATTGCTTTTTCCGCTATTACATTTGTTTATTTGCTAAACGTTTGAAGTTGTCCATATATCTGTCTTTTTGACCCAAAGAAGGCAAAAATTTGGAATATTCGTTCAATATCAGCAATCAAAGCTTTTAATTTCATTCA